TCTGTCTTGAATCCGAGAATCATTCCGGTTTTCTTTCTCTCTCTGCGCTTTTGCATCCTAAACTACATTGCACCAGTGGGACGCCATTCAATTCCATTACACGGCACTCAGTCGCGGGTTCCTTGGGCTTTCCCCGTGAGCAGCGAGCTGGATTTTTTCCATTAATTGTCTTTGGTCTATGAACATGTAAAGCTTACCTTCGCAGTTTCTGCTCGTCATCAAACCAGGCTGTCCTCTCGAGATGAAGTCAATTTCGAGAATTGGCTAACCATGCGTGGGTATTGGTGAGTATTCAACCTGGGCATGTGAGGAGATAATCTCAATCTCCATCACCTGTTGGTCAAACTTGAGCTGAGCAAACCTCAGACGCTGCACCAGGGATGCAGATGAATTGGCTGGAGAAAAGAATGGAACTGGTGTCCGCCCTCGCGCGAACTCGAGCCGAGCGAAGCTCGGGCGAGGGTGAGCGCGAAGTTGGTAGCCAAAATTGCTCATGAAAAATAAAGTATTAACATCCCAACCCCTCCTTTTTTTGCAGCTAGGCGGCTTATTTCCCCGGAGCCGGGACTTAAATCCCACAATACGCACTGGGAGTGTAAGACCCGGGAAGAGAGCTTTTTACTGGCCTTGCATTGACAAAGTCGGAATCGGGAGGGCGTAAAGCAGCACAGCTATTCTGCGACTCGATGTACAGTCATTCCACGGTCCTTGCACGAGACCGCTTTTTTGAGCCAGGATCCAATATTTTTGCGCGGCTTTTTTTGTAAACCTCTTTGATAGACTCTAGTCTAGCCTACTATAATTTCCTGTGGTGCAACTCTCCCTTGGGATCAGTGAAGGTAAGCAGACTGACAGGGAATTTGTGTTGCGAGCAACCGTGCCACAGGAGTTTTTATGGCGTTCACTTTGTACATTTAAGATTTTCACACACACACACACAAGTTTACCGTTTCACACACACATTTTCCGCAACTTTCACACACATATTTTCCCAGTTGCCTTTTACGGATGCTTGTCTCTGTATGTCTGTCGTACCATCAAGCCGGCATCCCCGGCATCAAAGTGCTCCAAATAACCCAATGCATCTCTCAAGGCCGAGCAGGCCCGAGCTCAAACTAATCACCAGTACTTGACTCCACCCAAGGGGGTTCGGATCTGTCACGAAAACACCCTAGGCCCTTTTATGGTGTAAACCTACCCCAGGAATCCGAATATGAACACCAAAAGTTTCCTCGATGAACGGCTGATGATATATGGGCAGTTCTGTCCAAAAAATATTAAAGATTTTTCTCGATTTTTTAATGAACAGATCTCATGATTCTGAGCAACTTTCGAAAAAAATCTCAAAAGTCGCTGACCCTACCACGTGATGTTATGCCCATATAAGGTAATGCTATGCCCATAAAGGGTAATTTACAAATATTCAATTTCTTACACGATTACTGGGCGGAATATTCTGAAATGTTGATTTTCGGCATCTCTGGAGTTTTCTGCTTTGGATTTCGGCCTGGTGTTTTTTGTGACCGATTTGAACCCCCTTGACTCCACCCTGCATTGGCTGCGGCCCGTGTCCGAAGGTTTTCCCGAGTTCTCCGCGGCAATGTCATTTTGCTGCCCATTGGGCCGTGAACACCATCACGGCCGTGCCCGTTGAGTTGTATTCAGCCTAGAAGGAGACCTAACTTACACCAGTGAGTGATGCTACTTAATTTGCCCACAGATAGTCCCAGGATGCCCCAGGCCAGATGAAGACCCATCCTTGTCCTTTCAACCCAAGGTGAACCCTCCATGTGCACGCTCGGCATTCTTGAGCCTGATGGCCGCGCTTAATGGACATTATTAATTGCAAGTTCTTGAACGGAGAATGGAGAGATTTCTGAACATGCATCTGAGAAGCATTCCCACATCGATGTTAGATTCACCGGAGAGGTCTCCCTGCGGATGGTGGCAGGTCAGATTCGGAAGAAGCCCCTATTGACTCGAAGGGAAAAAGTCAAGGAAGTGATGAAGGTGGGTCTCGCCGATGTGCCCTCAAAGTCACTTGCACCGTATGTGGTGTTTTCCCCACCGAAATGTACTGCGGAAGGCATCGCGAGCCTTCACGCTGGTTCGGCAATTTCGATCAGATTGATTTGGGCTTGTGACGCGCCGTGACAGGACTCGTCCGCTCCCAGAGCGCCACAGTGAATCCCCAGTAGAAAATTGTGGGGAAACAGAAGTATTTATACAGCATGATAAACCCACCTCAAATTTTCCTGAGCCCCCACGGTGAATAGTTGGAACAGAAATACATTCGTTACTCAAAGAACGTCGAGTTGATGCATCGGCCGTTCCTCCCTTGATCCCTTAGTTATTTCGCACAAGTGTGCACTACTATACAATGGTATCCCGTAAGATACCGACGGGAAAATGAACCAGAGGCCGAGAAAAAGGATTATCAGACTTATCGGGAATTATCGGACCCATCGGGACAGATAGTACGGCGGCCGCGCGAAGATGCCGACTTGATGGTAGGATTGGCATACAGGGACAAGCATCCCTAAAAGGCAACCCGCAAAATGTGTGTGTGAAAGTTACAAAACTTTGCGTGTGTGCGAGCGAAAGCAAGCAAAATGTGTGTGTGTAGTGGTAAAATTTTGTGTGTGTGTGAAAATATTAAATGTACAAAGTGAACGTCATAAGTTTTGGCATATTTGATGGTCCAAGTTCACTCATATGTTCATGAACATGCTATGATCATGGCACAAAAAAATTGAGTTGAATCACTGACTGCACGGTGTCGAACGAGGGGCGAGAAATGTCGCATTCACGTGATGTTGAGATTCGTGTAAAACAATGAAGACATCATTCTCTCTCCTCCCACACCACCATGCCAGGCATCGCACGCTCGAACCTCAAGAAGGCCGGGGACGTCAAAGCATCGAAAGACGAGGCCAAGAAGGCCAATCAGAGGAACTTTCGGCGGAAGGTTCTGATCTTGAGTCGGATCTCGAGTCAGAGGAGGAAATGTGAGCAAGATTGGGACTTGAAGATAAGAAAGAGTCGATGGAGAGTACCAGTGTTGATTGAAGTACTCCAAACCATCGAAGTTTTCGTGCCTCGAAGTCGTGTCGCCGAGTTTTGCACGAAAATGCAAGGACCGAATATGTCCGAAAATTCGGCCCGGGCCGATGTGGGCCAAACACGCAAAAGCTGGTGTATTCTTCCAATTCTTTTCGTGGTTCGGGCATCTAGGCCTTCACTCACATCCCCTACATACTTTGACCAGGCCGTGGAACTTAAATTTTGACAGAGAAAAGCCATCATTTAAAAGTTGATGCAAGGACCATGGAATGACTGTAGAAAAGGGGGGGTCTGAACATAAGTTGAATCCAAGGAGTTTGTGCGTACCTTGAGATCATGAAGGGTTGACCGAAAGAGGATGCATAGGTAATAGTACAAGCAGAAACTGATGGATCATGGAGTTATGATAGCGGGCCCTGCCGCGGGACGCGGGCTACAACAGTTATTTGAAGGTGGTATGCACAGTTCGAGTCGTATCATACCTGTCTTGTTCTCCCGTAATAAAATGATTTGACCAAATTTGGAAAATCGAGATCGTGGATTTTGATGCCATGCAAAAATGGTCATCATGGCATGAAAGCACTTGAAAAATGAAGTAGACTCACATTTTATTTGATATAGATCGTTAGGTAGGTTGGCTCACAGGCCAGCTCTCAAGTTGGCCCTTTTGACCAAAAATGGACCAAAACTGCCCAAAAATGGCCAAACTAGCCAACTTGTGGCGGCTATTGCGAGAGAGCCTACCAATCAATCCCATCGAAATAAAATGTGTGCATACACTATTTTTCAAGTGCTTTCATGCTAGGCTGACCGTTTTTCGATATCCTCTCTATTTAAAAAGTTGATTTTTCAGAAAATGGCAATTTATTTTATTCTGGGACATCGAGACAGACATGGAATACCTTAAGTGATGCATACCCTCTTAAAATCGACCATACCCCATGGTAGCATTTTATTTGAAGTGATTCGGCCAAGAAATGACCCCAAACCATCGCGGCAATTCTTTTTGGCCACCACTGTATGCATACCTGTTAGTGCGGTGACGATCACGTTGGTCGCGAGGGAGAGTGCGAAAAAAGGGTTCGAGGGGAGCTGTAGGTCGACACCGAATACTGAAATTGAGAAGTAGAGCGTGAGAATGCTGCGGCAACTGGAGCGATTTAGAGTCAGACTGACCACTGGTGACAAGGAGCATTAATAGCGGCAGGATTATCACATAGACCTTGCGGTCCCAGACTATGTAGCAGCGGTATATCTAAATACTAATGATCAACAGCCCTGTCTGAGCATATTTTGTACCAGACTTACGACCAAGCCGTCGGCGATTATACTGATGTGAATGGTTAAATGAAGGCACGAATGGTACAGGAATGCTTACTTATTGACGCCGTATATTATCCCAGCCGCTCTGTTGATGTTGTCGTAAGGGATATCAATATTGTCGATGTCTGCTGCGCCGAGAATGAGGTTGAGGACAGCCTGAACGGTGGAAAGAGTGAAGAGGGCGATCGCGGTGACCAGAAGCACGACGTTTCCTAACGTTTCCTAGGTTTTGTGGCCGGCGCAAGAGAATGTAGATGCAAATACAGAAGAGCACAGCGTATATGGCTGGGTGACAAAGAGGTATAACAGCATATTGGGGGCAAGAAAGCATCCATACCATAGAAGAAGGTCCCGACCTTGAAGAGACAGAAATGAGCAGGTACAAGTGTGAGTTGCTACAAGGCGTACCCATAGCTGGCTGATATCGTACCAGAAGTTATCCTGGACTCCTGTTAAAAAACGACGGCAAGGGAACTTGAACGAGCTGGATACCATGTTTGGCTAATAAAAGGGCGGGGAGGAGGAGGAAGAAGAAGACAACCGTCAAGGGTAGACGAACGAAAATGAGGACCGCAAACCAGGCTTCGACCCGAAAAAATATGGACTAGGGAACATGGCCCGGGCTCGATTCGAACGAGCGACTCCTGCAGGCAGAAATCAACCTATACGACGCCTCCACAGGTTGCAGTTGCGGACCATCCGCGACCGGGCCTTGCTCTCATATTTTGAAACCTGATTAAAGAAAGTACAGTTGACGAGGGTCAACGGAGCTGCAGAGTGCAGAATCATGGATTTTTCACTGTCCTGTTGTTTTTTCAACCCTGGTAAATCTCCTCCAAGCCTGGTCTGGTCGCCTTCAGGAATTGAGTTTGAATTGCTCCTGAATTTCACCTATCAAGCACTCTCAGAAAACATGAGAAGTGGACCACACCTCAGTCTATCCCGTCGGACTCCCTGTTTGCTCCCTGTTCGAGCCAGGGCTGGGCCTTGATTCAGACTGCGATCTTTTTTTCCGTTCCCTTCCTGTGGTTCTCAACGGTTGTGTTCCTGTCCCGTCAGATTTGCAAGGCAATACCGCGTTGGTTCAATTTCAAACACGACTTTCTATCCGTCCATTGCATTAGGGTTAGGGTTAAGCGCTTGAAAGAGCCAAAAAAAAAAGAAAAACTCTGCCACCAAGAGGCAAAGCGACACGAAACAAGCGCAATACGACAGCGACCCCCCTCGAGCCCTGGGACGAGAAGGACTTGTGCCGTAGCTACGGTAGCAGGAATACATGGTCTTTTCGAGAGCCACTGGATCGCGAAACCGACCAGCGCTACGAGCGAAGTGCGTGCAGGACCAGGGCATGGCGAGCGCGTCGCGCGAGCCTACGGTGGACGACAGCACTTCAAGCGCGGCCATGGGACGATACGGCTTGAAGCGAGGGCACTGAGAACGAGGTCCAGCAGTCTGAAAGGATATCGATGCGGGGGGATGGGACGGGATGGCGGGGGGACGAGAGCAGGACTAATCAAAACTGCGCTGTGTGACGAGTCGAGGTGCCCAGCAAGAAGACAACGAGCGCCCCCAAGGGTGCGTGTCTTCGACCAAATGCATAGGTGCGCGCGGTCGTCGGAAAAGATTGAGGTGGCGGTCCCCCGACGTCGGAGGACCTCGACACCTTCACGGACCAGCGACCACGGGCTGGGGGTGCGGACGGTACCAGAATGCGTAGGGCGCGCGTGCATTGGACCTGCGATACAGTCACCCGAGTCGTCATGAAGCCCAGGTCCAGAGAAAACACGAGGCGTGAAGAGCGAGCGAACACTGTGCGTGCAGACCGTCCGCGGCGATATCGATTGGTGTCACCGAGAACCTTTGCGTGCGGGTATCGGGAAACTGCGGGGAGACGGCACACTCGCAAGAGCTGCGCGCCCCTCTCGCAGTAGTGGGCGTAGCAATAGCCAATGCTATGCTCCATCTACTCAGCGCCGCAGGGATATTGAGGCGTGAGGTAGATGCGGGATCGGGGGACGAGGCGCATAATGCGGGCCTTCGGCGCAGACGCACCAGTAGCGCTGCGTACGCGGTCGATGGCAAAGCGCGCCGCGGCAAGACTACGAGGTCCCGCCTGCTCGGGGGCTCTTTGTAAGGTCCGTGGACACGGGCGTCGCGAGACTGCGAATGGAAGGCAGCATGATCGCGAGGAGAGAGTGCATACTGCCGCCGGGTACAGATACGCGGCACGCGCGTGCATTCGACGAGTGTGCGCGGCGCTTGAGACAGCGGTCGCCCTCCGCCTTTCACCTTCGCCGCAGCTTCGGACGATGCTGACACCCAGTCGCGTACACGTCAGGGATCGGTGTCCATCTGTTTCCCCTTCCGCGTCCGCTCACAGTGGGGGAAGAGCGACGGCGAGAGCCGGATACGATGGCCAGTAACGGACACTCGAGATGGGGGACGCTGAGACACCCGTGAGCGAAGGAGAGAAAGGGCGACTCCGTATCCGTGGGCCCCTCTCGACGCGGCGCGCCATCCTCCTCAAGCGCCTCTCGGTAGTCCGCTCCCTGTCGGGAACGAGTGTCGAGGGGTGTCCACGCGCCTCGACTGTGAGTGCGTGGGTGTCAGGGGCGCAGCAGCCGCTGCGATGACAGGAAGCGGAAGCCTTGGGGAAGTTGCGGCTCCGCGCGCGCGGTACTGCTGGCTACGAATTGGGCTCAGGATGAAGCTTAATGGGCGAAATCAGTAAATCTCCGTCAGAAAAAGTAAAGACGTACCCAGCCAAAGCATGCGTGATGGATGGGTGTATGCGACGCCTGGTTTGTGTGTTCTTAGAGGCTTGGAATTTGCCTGTCCACCTCGGAAATCGACACCGGGGTGTGCTGGTCGACCACATCGTTGACGCGTCTGCGGCCCATTAGTTTGTAGATAGTTGGGGTAGCACGGCAGAGACTAGGTCGCCCTCTCCTCTGTCCTCCTCGTCCCTCTCGTCCACCGTAGTCTCTGTCCGTACATGTCGGGGCCGCCCTGCGGGACGGAAGATGCTTGCGGGTGAAGGGAGCAAGTCGGCTTCAAGGGCATAGGCATTTCGGTATGCGGGTCGCTGTCGGGACGAGTGTCGGGTGGTGGGGGCACTGAATGCTCCGGAGATACAAGGAAGACCGGGACACCGAGATGCTGTCCGTGTCCGCGGGCATTGCTGCGCACCATCCTCCTTCAAAGGCATACGCATTCAATCGGCATGCAGCTCGCTGTCAGGGACGAGCGGTGCGGGGTCTGGATGCATTGCGCCTGGGCTGCGAGTTGCGTGTCAGACGTGCGAGGGGGAGATCTAGAGGACATTGCGATGACGATGCACCGTGGAGTCATGGCTGCGCGCGCACGGTACGCTGGCTGCTCGGTGAAGTCGAGGCACAGCTCGGAGAACGCGTGTTAAAAGGAGGTAGAGACCGGTGGGGAGCCGGAGTCTCGCGTGTGGGCGGTCGTGCTGAGCGTGGCTCTACACCGGCAGCGGAGGGAGCGCATGACGGAGCGCGGAAGGCACGCACAGACGTTGGGCGGAGGAGAGGATGGTCGTGACATCGGCCGCCCTGCGCGCTTGTGCGAGGGAGGAAGGCCCAGCGCTATCCATCGCGCTCATTCGGTGCGCCGTGAGAGGGCTCACAGTGCGGCGGCCGTGTCCGATGGCGAGTTTGCGACGGGGCGGTAGTGCTTTCCATAACTTTGCGCAGCTGAGTCCAATGAATTTCGGAGACCATTGGGATGTCGAAGATACCTCATGGGCGAGGTCAGCCTGGGGTATATAGCATGGCGCGCAAGGACACACCTAAGGCATCCGATGAGGTTCGACGAATCACAATGGCAGGGTGTCCGCTCCCCGCACCGCAGCTTGCGCAATCCATGTCCACGGCTTCATGAAGCAGACTCGAGGTCGTGGCAACCTCGAAAGCACGCTAGTTCCAGTAACATCCGCGGCCGAGGTATCGACAGACGTGCGCGTCGAGTGTGTCGTTCATGCTTGCCGTCTATTCGCTCGCAGACTTTTGCGGCAGGACTCTGGAGGAGACGGTGGAGATCAAGTCGGGTAGCTCTGGGCCTCCTCTGCGGTCGAATCTCATTCTGTTCGTGAATGCTTGGTGTTTTTCGCAGACACGATCGACTCAGAATCAAAGCGAAAAGGATCGTGCGCGTCTCGTTTCTATCCCATTTTAAGCGTCGACCAGGAGCGGACTTGCGCAAATTTTGAGCGGGCTGGATGGCAAATTCGGCATTCAAGGAGTGTCTGTTCAACATAATGTACGCCAGCAGAGAGCCTGGAGAAGGATAGATGACTCATGAGAAGAGCAGGGGGGAAGCCGCAAGCAAACAGACACAATCATCGGTGCCGGTGATTGCCGGCACTCTGCGTCTTACCCTCATCTTGGTGTTCTTTGCCCGAGCTTCAATGGGGTCTTTCTCCCGTGAGATTACGCTTTCGCTCTCCTCGCCTGAGGCTACCATCGACATTGACTGGCAGATTCGTCAACACTCAAAACCAGTCGTGGCACAACTTGAAATGCTGGTGGCATTCAAGCCGAAAAACTCACCTTCATGACGTGGCACCTGCGCTATAACTCCAAGTATAAGTCAACTCGGACGTCGTGCACAGTGCACACCCTCTGGCAATGAGGTTGCGCCAAACATTCCCTGATAAATGCGGAACGAATCGGGTTCGACTCCCGGCGTCTGGATCTTATACTGTTACATACAACCAAAGTCCCCGTCGTTTTGCCTCAGTTCCTCAAAGTCGGTCTGTCCGTGCATTGCAATATACTGCGACTGACCTGCCACCTGCGAGCCATTATTATCTCGCACCTTCATGGTAGACCGGATTTCCTTTCACCTTACAGCTTGCTGACCCAGAAGCGTCTCTCCTAGCCCATTAACTCTATCGACAAGCAATCGGACGTGGTGCACGGAGCACACCCGCTGGACGTTGGGTCCATTGACAACATGAATGCGGGGGACTGGGTTCGACTCCCGGCGTTTGAATAAAGCTATCTTGATCTATTCTTTTTGGGTGGAAGCAAGGTGAAGATATCCCAGCACTTCACGGTATGTGCGATTTCTCTTCATCCTCCCCTTGCTGTGGGATGAACTGATTCAACGTTTTGCCTCGATTCCTCAAAGTCGGTCTGTCCGGGCCTTGCAATATACTGCGACTGACCTGCCACCTGTGAGCCAGTATTCTCTCGCACCCTCATCATGGACCGGATTTCTTACCGACGTTTTAGATCGCTGACCCAGAAGCGTCTCTCCTAGCCTGCATTCACATAATACGAGCAATCGGACGTGGTGCACGGAGCACACCCGCTAGGCATGCGCTCCATCGAAAACTTGAATGCGGGGGACTGGGTTCGACTCCCGGCGTCCGAATGAGGCATTCGGATTTCCTTTTGGTTGGTTGAGACAAGGGCAAGGTATCTCGCCCCTGCATGGTATGTGCTACATCCCGCGCTGGCTTTCCTCGACGAATTACGATTCAGATGTGACTCATGCTCAGTCACTCTCAGCCACTTGGCTCTCTCGATGTGCAAAATTAATCCAGTCCACAGGACGAAACCTCCCCTCGTTAAGTGGGAGACTGGGTTCGATTCCCGGCGTCCCAAAACTCTAAGAACAATACTGCTCGACCTCTTTCTCTAGGTAATCCCACAACTTCTGTCCAACGACAGGCTTCAATGCGCCGGG